GTTTATTTTAAACATTTAGAACATGAGAGTCTAAAAAACTACACTGGTTAATATATATTCTATTCATGTCCGCGCGGATTTATACTTATTACTCCTTTTGTTTTATCTATTTAGGAGGGTTCCACTAAAGTGAGTTTATCTTTGATTTTTTCAATGAATTTTTCCTTGAAAACTCCAAAGTTGTTACTTATGTAGAGTGTAAGGAAGCTGTTTTGAATTTAATTTAACATTATTTCATTGTTTCCAAATAAAAAATAATTTAAATCTATATCAGATAAATTGTTATCGCAAAAAATTATACGTAATTGATTTTTTTACATAAATAATATATGACCTTTTAATACTTTTAGATGATGTTTAGTTAATTTACTTTAATAAAAACATATTGTTGTTATCCTGGATATCATACGCATACATTATTCTAGTTAAAACCACATGTCTATTTTAAAATAACCTTGGAAGTTATTTATTTTAATCGCTATGTCTTTTCGATAATCTTTTAAGTTTTTTAGTTCCTCTAATTTATGATGGAAATCTTTTGTTGGATCAATTGAAAAATCTAATTCGGCTTTTTTTTATTTTATAGTTATTATTTATGATTTATATTTTTTTATTTTACAATATAAATATTCAAAGTTTCTAATTGAATTTTTATGCTTTTTTTTAATATTTCGAGGCGTTGTATATGCTTCTTTAGTATTTTAATAACAAAATGTTAGCATAAATTTATAGTTGATTTTTATTATTTTTATAAGTATATTTATATATATATATAATGTTTGTTTTTTTTATTTTTTTTATAAAATTAAGTAATGTTATATTTGTAAAATTTAAATTATTTTTTTTTTTTTAAATATATTTATTTACAAGTATTAAATTATATTTTTAATTAATGATTAAATTTAAAATAACTATTAATATTTATATATTTATATATATCAATATATATATATATATATTTAAATATTTTTTTTTTTCTTTTTATATAACTATCTTTTTATTTATTTTAATTATTTTAAATACAATGTATTTTTAATTTACGAAAATATTAATTTTCTAAATAATTCAATCAATATTTTATATATTCTATAGCATGTTTTTTGGACTTTTTATATAATAAATATACTAATTTTTGAAAATTTAAAGTTATTCCAATTATTATTTATAAAATTAAACGAATTTTCTACATAAACTATAAAATTATTTTTTTAATTGAGACACTTATTTAATTCATTATCTACTCATGTTTAAAACAACTTTGTTTAGTTTTTATATAAAATAAATTTTTAGCAATGTTTTATGTGCATATTTCTCTTCCATAAAATGGGTATTATTGGTATCTTACAAATAATCTTATACAATAAATATATTAGGTTTTATTTTTACGTTTCAAGTTATTATATAATAATTATTTAGATTATTACAGTTAAAGTTTTTTTTGATTCACATCAAATTATATACAGTAGAATAAAAATTGTAAAAAATAATAAAAATTAAAAGATAATATTTAATTTTTATATTTAATATAAAATTATAATAATAATTACTTAAAAAAATAATATTTATTTTTATAAATAATAAATATAAAATTATTTGAGTATAAATTAAACAAAATGTATATAATATTTAGTAATAATAAAAATTAAATAAAAAATACTAAGATATATTTTATCAGTATTATATAATTAAAAAATAAATAATTGTTTTATTAACTATTTAAATATTTATAATAAAAAATCTTATTTTTTTAAAATAATTGAAAATATCAATATAATTTTTATTTTTTATATTAATACAATTATATTTTAGAAAATTTATATTAGATTATTTTTAAAAAAAAAATGGATAATAATACAATATTTTAATATTTTATAATTCCTATAAAAAATATAGAATTAAATATAAAATGAGATAAAATTATAATTTATAAAATATTTATGTTTTAAAAAAAATTTAAACTAATAATGAATTTTCATAATAAATATAAAAATATAAATATATATATATATATATATATATATATATATATTATTATTATACAAATACAGATCTTTATCAATTTTTTTTTTTTTTATATATTTAAAGAATTTATTTTTTTAATAATAATAATTATAAGAGTTAATAAATAAGTATTTTAAAATTTATTTAAAATATAATATTAAATAACTTTTTATATAATTAAAAGAAATATTATTTTAGTATTAGTATTATATATTTTTTTTTTTTGCAATATATTTCTATCAGTTTACATTTAAAGAATCTATTTTATAATTTTAATTATTATTTAAACTTTTATTTATCATAAATATTAAAATTAATATATTTTTTTCTAATAAACTGAAAATAAAAATTATATATATAAAAATTTTAGTTTTTTTTTACAATTATTTTTTTAAAAGAGCATATTTCTGTTTTTTTTATTATTTTTCCTTTTAATAAAAAAAATAATTTGTTTTATTTTTATTTTTTTAAATCAATTATAATATATTGATTTTTTTGATTAAAAAATAAAAAATAATTATGAATGAAATTAGTTCAAAAACAAATAGTTTTTAATAGTTAAACATAAGCATTTCAGGATAAAATATATCATATAATGAATTAAATTAAACAACAAAATAAATTGCAAATACAAATAATAATTTGAATAATAAGTCATACAATTATTTTTTATAAGATTAGGAAATTCCATCAGTTTAAAAAAAAGATACAATTAATTAGATGAAGATGAAATGAAATTGTCTGATGAAATTTCAATTGACCATTAAAATAATGTATATTAAAAGCTTTAAGAAAGTAAAATTGGATTTGCAAGAAAAAAAACAATTTAAAAGAAAATATTGATAAAATTTATGATAGTCTTGATGAGAAAGCCTAATTATAAACATAATTTAAAAGCCTTATTAGAAATTAAAAAAACAAAATATTTCTGTTTAAAATACTTAAGGATATCTTGCAAAATTTATTTATTTTAATAAGTAAAAGAATATAATTGAATTAAATTATGAATAAGTAAAAAATTAGAATTTATTTATTTTTTGTTTTTTTTATTTCATTTTTTTTTAATTGAATTTTTAATTTATATATATATTTTTTTTTTTCAAAAACATCGTTAAATTTTTCAATTATATATTTATTACAAAATATCTATAAAATAAATAAAAAAAAGATATTTAAATAAAATGAAGAATGTTTGCATGTGGGATTTATATCATTTATAAGAACTGAGAAAACAAAGAATAATATGTTTTTTGAGTTTATTTAATAAAATAATTAAGTAAAACATTATATGTGTATATAGATATATACATATTATAATAATATTAAAAAATAAAATAAAAAGTTATTTAATGAAAATGAGAATTTAGAAGGAATTAATATTTGGAGCTCTCCTATATAAAATTAAGATACTGAAATATATTTAATAGGTTTATAATTATTTATTTATTTATTTTTTTAAAAAAAAAATTTTAGATAAAAATTTATTAAAAATTATAAATAAATAGATGCATATATAAATTAAGATTTACCAAAATTAATTTAAGAAGAATTATTTTTTATAATTTGTTTAATATCAAATACACTAATAATAGAAACAAAATAATCAGAAAATTTAGAGTTCGAAAACTTTATAAATCTATACGATATTCTTAATATTTAGAATTATTTTGAATTTTAAAGTTTAGAATAAAAGGAACATATAATTCATTTAATGCCAAAACTTTAAATGATTTTAACAGAAAGCACATATGAATTATAAAAGAAAGGTAAATAAATAAGTGGCTAATAATATTTAGAATAATTTTTATTTGACGAGTCGACATATTAAACTGCTAATATGATTCAAAAAAAGCTTTTGAGAAGAATAATAAAATACTTTAAAAAACGGGAACTAGAAATTATATCTTAAAAAATAAAACAAAAAGAAAAATTCGAAATTGAAAAGGATTTACTTTTGAAAAGATTAATTAAAAAATGTGAAATAAAATAATTTAAAGGTCTATCTTTTTCCAAAAACATGATTATCGAATATGTAAAATCATTCATAGAAGATGCAAATTCTAATGATAAATTTTAGCTTTATAAATCCTTTAGTATTTTATTAGAAAACGAATTTATTTCAGTTTATCATAAATGTGTAGATTAATATAAATAAGTAATGTAAAATTAACTTTGGAATAAATCATTTATTAGTTTGGAAAAAATAAATGAATGCTTTTAAATAGCTAGATAGGAAGTTTATCTTATATTTTTTAAATTAAAAAAACATGATATTGAGGTTGCTCATACATTATTTAAGTAGTATTTATAATATTTGAAAAAATTTATTTAAGATATGGAGGAGAATTTCAATTAAATTAATAGTGAAGAGAGTTTTGCATATATAAGGGATATTATTAATGAAAAAATAGAAAGTAATATTAGAAAAGAGGATATTAATTTAATTAAGTAAAAATTTGATGAAATTCTTAATGAAGTTAAAGTTTTGTGTGTTGGTTAGTAGAATAATTATGTATAGATGTATGGTATATTTATTACTTAAATATAGAAATTTTAAATGGATATTTTAGATAAATAAATTTCAACTTCGAGAAATTAATAAAATTAATTAGTTAGAGAATAAAAGGCAATTAATAGTGGATTGTAAAAATAAGAGAATAATTTAAATGAATAAATGAAGAAAATCAAAAAAGAAAATGATTCTAATGGCAAAGATAGGGATTAATAAAAAATAGAATTCGATTAATTGTATAAAAAATAATAAAAATAATTACAAGAATATAAATTATTATAAAATGAGATTGCTTTTTATAAATAATAATAAAAAAAATATGAAACAGCAATGAAATGATATTTTTTTTAAATATGTATATAAATATATTATTATTAAAATTTTTATTAATTTTTAAATTTTTTTTTTAAAAAATTAAATTATTTTCAAGTTTATTTATTTTTAAAATAATTTATATATTTTTAACGTAAAAAAAATAAAAACTGATATGGAGCTTTTATCAGATCCACAAAAAGATAGATAAGTTGTTAAAGTAAAGCCTCCTCCCCACCGTCATTTATCAGATATGCTTATGTGGAAAAAAAGTATATTTACAAATAATTTTAAAATATGTATATATTTTAAAAGATGGAAAACCTGATTGGAAATTAATAAAAGATCATTTATCAAAAGAAGGAAGAATACTAAAAGAAAATTTTATAAAATTAATATAAGATTTTAGTAAAATAATAAGTAAAAAATATATTTTTTAAAGTTTTTAAAAGTTATAAATATGTATATAAAAAATAAGAAAATGAACCTAACATAATATAATTAAGCGATCCAGTTGTAGTAGTAGGAGACATTCATGGGTTTAACTAAATAAAAAATTAATTTAAAATTAAAAAATAAAAGTTAATTTTACGATCTTTTAAAAATTATAGAAGTAGGAGGTAGTCCAACATCAACAAAATATATATTTTTAGGAGATTTTGTTGATAGAGGACAATTTTCTATTGAATGCTTGATCTTATTATACGCAATTAAAGTAATTGTTATTTATAAATATTTTTAATTATATATGAGAATTATTAGAATTTAAGTTAAACTTTTAATAAACATTATTTATGTTAAGAGGAAATCACGAATCGAGATAAATGACTACATATTTTAATTTTAGAAGTGAATGTAAAAATAATAAATAATCAAAATATTTATATATTTAAAATTTTTTTAAAAAAAAATAATATATATATTTAAAATTAATAAAATATAAAGGTTTAAGCAAATATGATTAAGAAATATATGATTTGATTATGGATTCATTTGATTTATTACCTTTATCATGTATTATAAACGGGAAATTTTTAGCTTTGCATGGTGGTATATCTCCTGATCTAATAACTGTAATAAATATATATAAATATAAATATAAATATAAATATAAATATAAATATATATATATATATATATATATTTATATATATATATATATATTATAATTATTTAATTACAAAAGCTAGATGACCTTAAAAAAATTGATAGGTTCAAAGAACCACCAAAATATGGTATTTTTTGTGACCTTTTATGGAGTGATCCTGTAGATAATGATAGAGGAATATGCGAAAGCATTTATAAATTTAACGAAGTGCGTGGTTGTTCATATTTTTATGGAGCATAGGCAGTAAAAAGGTTCCTTTAAGAAAATAATTTAATATCTCTGATAAGAGCACATGAAGCATAATTAGAAGGATATAAAGTATTTTATTTATAAGTAAAAAAATATATATTAATAAAGATGCATAAATGGGATGAAAGCGATTTTCCTATTGTTATAACTATTTTTAGTGCACCAAATTATTGTGATGTATATAATAATAAAGGTGCAATAATAAAATTCGACAATAATACATTAAATATTTAATAATATAATTATACTGATCATCCTTATCTTTTGCCTAATTTTATGGATGTTTTTAGTTGGAGTATTCCTTTTGTTCTTGAAAAAGTATCCGAAATGTTATATTATATTGCTAGACCGAATGAATCAGAAGAATATATTTAAGAAGAAGATATATAATTAAATGAAAAAGAACTACTTTTCTTAAAAAACTTTAAGTTTTAAACAGACGATAGGCAAAATAACAACAATCAAAATAATAATAATGAGTATGAAGATTCTAATAAAAGCTTTAAGAATGAAAGTAAAAAAATAGAAAATATATTTAATTTTTTTATATCAAAATAAAGAAAGTAAAATTATAAGAAATAAAGTAAAGTTTATTTCTAAAATGGTAAATATTCAAAAATTATTAAGAGAAAAAGATTAAAATATATAACTTTTGAAAACATAATATCCTGATAATAAAATGCCAGCTGGTTTGTTACAAGAAAGTGGTAGTAATGGAATTGAAGATAGTATAATTTTAAAATATATTATTTTTATTTTTATTTTTAAAAAAGGACTTTAATAATTTGTTGCGGCGTAAATTGCTGATAAAATAAATGAAAAAAGACCAGAATTTGGGCCTTATATAGTATATTAAGATTGCATTAAACCTATAAAATGATTAATAAATAAGATCATTTTAAAAATAATTTATTTATATATATATATATATATATATATTATTATATATATTATAATTAATATGTGTATATAATTAATTATATATATTATATATTATAATTAAA